TTTTTGGTAGCGATGGAGTTTCACCATGTTGGCCAGGCTAGTCTTGAACTCCTGACTTCAAGTGATCCTCCCGCTTCGGCCTCCCAGAGTGCTGGAATTACAGGCATGAGAAACCATGACTGGCCCAGGAATGCATTTTCAAAACTGATTACTTACTAATTATTTTACTGTTGTCACTATCATACCCTCAAGGGTATTTATGCCTACTACACCTGTATGATGGAAATGCTATACAATGGTGTCTGCTGTTCATCTCTTCCCAACTGCACATTCAATGACTTCACGTTGGTAAGAGTGAAATCTGAAGTCAGAGAATTTACATCACAGAAATTGGCAGATGCTAAAATCCCCCACCCTCCTTTTTTTCTGGAGGGCCAGTTGTTACCAGCACACTATTGGGTGTAACCCTAAGTAGAGAAGAGAAATTCACAAGCTTGATGAATCCTTCCCAGTTTCCAGCCCAGGCAGACGACTCAGCACCAGCCTGCTGTATGGATCAAGGATCTGAATGTGGTCATGTGCACACACTCTACACACCATGCACAGAAAGACACACACAAATACTAAACACACACATGCATCACACTCCCCATACACATCTTGTCTACAAACCCCCACATATACAACATACACACAGCATATAAGCGACTACACATGCACCCCATAGCAGCCCTTCAGTCAGCAGGTGAATAGTTTGAATAATGAGAAAAACAAGCAAAAGAATGACAACCTGACTGATCAAATTCCTTGATGTCTGAGCACCTTCACCTTTACTCCCTCCTCATCCTCTGTGATCCACCCTTCCCCACACACCCCGACATCACACTGCAAAGGCAAAAGTCTCAACTCCCACAGGAAGCACCAAACGCACTGATCCCATTTCAGTCCTGCTGGAGGCCCTGGCCACATGGCTCCCCATCCCTGCTCTGTACCCAGCTCTCAGGAGACTCCAGAGCTGAGTCTGACCCTGGCCTCTTCCCAGATCCCATAACAAGGAGTTCCCTGGGCAACTCCACCCATCTGACCACTTCAGCTGCCACCAGATGCTAGTAAGTCCAAACCTCGTCTCCAGCCAGACCCTCTCTGACCCCACACCCATCAGCCTTCAGACATCTCTACTTGATGTCCCCCAACTCCTTAGACAAGTCCTAAACAGCCTTTCCCCCTCTCTGCCCCACACTGTTCCTCCCCGTGTTCTCCATCCCCACCTATGCCAGAGGCTGGTGCACAGGAAGCATTCAATGCACATCTCATGGAGAGAGGAAGAAATCATGTAAATCCCAGAAAGAGAGGAAAAGCAAACTTCCTGGTAAGGCAGATAGAAAGTCTTACCCCATTTTACAGATGAGAGCCCAGAGATTCAGTGGAGTGAAGAGGCCAGCCCAGGAGCAGCACCAAAGCCGTGGACTGTGAGGTGGAGGGAGCCTGAGCTGGGGGCCGCAGGCAGCAGCAACCAGGCCAGGGCCAGCCCCGCAGGCTCAGCTCTCACCAGCCCCAAGCGAGGGGTTAGTTACAAAGAAAAGGAAAAGGCGTTCCTGATATGCGTCCTGTTTCCTCTCCTCCTCCGGGCTTCTCAGGCCATGGAGGGCGGATGTCCCCGGGCTGGCAGCACTCTGCCTGTACACAGATGGGCAGTGGGTGAGGGTCTCCCCAAAGATGCTGAGGGTCTCCCTAGACCACTTTCCATTCCAGCAGTCCAGCCTGCATGAAGACAGGGGCTCACCATAGTGACCCATCAAGTTTCCCTTCCAGCCTGGGGGAGCCCTTACCCCTTATCCGCAGTAGGTACTTATCACAGCCAGGCATCTCCTGTCCATCAGAGGATCCCAGACAGACACCTTCACCAGGAAGGCTTCTATGTCACCCTCACTTAAAGCAGGGGGCCTCCTTACAGTCTCCTGTAAGGACTCTCCTGTCTTCCCTTCCTCCCTGCCCCACAGCAGCCAAGTTCATAACTGCCCAGCTCCATGCGTAGCTGCTGCCTGTGGGACCTGGCCTCCCCATGAATCAGGTAGGGGAAGAGGTTAAAGGTGAAGGGGTCAAAGGTGAAGGCCATAAATGGGGTTTCTTGAGTAAGCCTCCATCAGACAGGGGTCCTTCCTGAGGACAGAGGTCAGGGCTCCTCTCTCAAATAGGGAATCTCTCCGAGGGAAGTGACCGCAGCTCCCCCATCAGATTGGAGGCTCCTGCAGGATGGAGACCATGCCTCATTCCTCAGACACACGGCTCCTAGAGGACAAGAGGACTGTGTCCCCTCTGTTACACAGGCAGTCCCAGGAAACAGAAGCCACGTTGACCCATCAGACAGGAGTGTCCTGGAGGTCAGGGCCATGCCTCCTCCATCATACTAGGAGCTCCCAGAGGGCATGATCCCCATCTGCTCCCTCTCCCCAGAAGTTCCCAGGACAGACTTCAGCTCAGTCTAACACACGGGGAAGGGCTTCCCTCTGGAGCCCTTGCTCACACCCTCCCCTGCCCAGGGTCCCACTCCAATTCCCCATTTATGCTCTCCATTGAACTGAAGCCACCATGCCATATTTATGACAGCTGTGTGTCTGGACAGAGGCCAGCACCCTCTGGAGAGACAGCAAGGGGGCAAGAAGGGGATCCCTGACAAGAGGATCCCAGGACAGACCATGGCCCCAGCTCTGGCTGGATGTGACCCAGATGAGTATCCACACCTGCCTCTGCCACTAACTGGGCAAGCCTCTTACCCCATGGCCACGGATAGCACCATCCCCATCATCAAACTTTATCAGCACCCACTCCTGGCTAAAGTGGAATAAAGCATCAGGGACAGGGGATAGCAGGCCCTTCCTTAGTCCCACTGTGAGGACAACACGAGCCCTCCCTGGGTGCCGGCCCTGAGCCTGGTCCAAGCAACCTCCGCAGTCGTCTTTCCTACTCACGGCAGCTCCAGGGAACCGCTATTAGTTAGCATCGATCCACAAAGTACTTTGCCGACACTTTATGAGCTCAGTCTCACCAGAGGCCCCAGGGACCATGAACAAGAGGCAGAAACCAAGGCCCAGGAGCTCAGGCCACTGAGTAGAGCCAGGGAGTCGCTGAGCCAGCATTTGAAACCAGGTCCTATGACCAAGGCCCAAGTGAGCCCAGAGACAGCACTAAGTAAATATTTGCAGAATGCCTGTTCACTGAAAAGCAATCTGACTGGATTTTGGTAACAATCTGGGTATATTTTCTTATTAAAAAATTTGGCCAGGCACAGTAGCTCACGCCTGTAATCCCAGCACTGTGGGAGGCCGAGGCAGGTGGATCACTTGAGGTCAGGAATTCAAGATCAGCCTGGCCAATATGGTGAAACCTCGTCTCTACTAAAAATAAAAAAATTAGCTGAGCGTGGTGGCACACACCTATAATGCCAGCTATTTGGGAGGCTGAGGCAGGAGAACTGCTTTAACCCGGGAGACGGAGGTTGCAGTGAGCCAAGATCACACCACTGCACTCTAGCCTTGGCGACAGAGTGAGACTCCATCTCAAAAAAAAAAAAAAAAAAAAAAAGTCCTACGATAACATTTTTTTTGGAGGAAGGGTCTCACTATATTGTCTTCATCTCCTGGGCGCAAGTGAGCCTCCCACCTTAGCGTCCTGAGTAGCTGCAACTACAGGTACATGCCATCGTGCCCAGTGATTATTTTAAGACATATCATTTATTAATTTGTCATGTGCTACGTACTTTATATATTTATGTTTAATCTCCAGGATAACTCACGGAGAAAAAGCCAGTATCCTCTTTTTACAGAATTGGAAACTGGAGGCTAGGGAGGGGGAAGAGATAAGTTACCCAGTTCAGGGGAGGCAATGCCCGCCTGGTGGCCCCAAAGCCTCTGCTCCTTTTCCTGCCCACACAGCTCCCTGTGCTCTTAGAAGGTGGCCTGGGGAGGCCAGAGGCCCACAAATGGGCGCAGCCAGCATCAAAGTGCTCAGGCAGCCTGCCTGGTGGGCCTGACCCCACATTGCAGGGACCCCTGGAGGAGAGGGCTTAAGCCCTGATCCCTCAGGGAGCTTTGCCAGGCCTCTCTGAGGACACGCCCCTGCCTTAGTGGGCATCATTCATTTGAGAACTTGCCCCCCAGGATGGGAACTCCTCCAGGGCAAGGCCTGTGCTTGGCACAGAGAAGGTGCATCATAAAGGAGTTAAGGGCACAAGCTTAGGGTCAGGCAGGCCTATAGCCTCATCAGCCTGCTGCACAGCCGTCTGGAGGGAAATGAGGCCCTGGCACAGAGTTGGAGCTCTGTGAATGGTGCAAATACAAACCCCCACCACAGCAAGCAGACCCACTGGTGGCCTTGGGCAGGTCCTTGTCCATCTTGGCTTCAGCTGGCTTACGGGCTCTCACAGGGGGTCACGTTACCTCACAGGAGCCTAGATAGCTGACAGGAGATAATGGGTACATGAGGAGTCCTGGGGAGACCAGAGTGCTGAGCAGAGACAAAGGCCTGATATTAGGACAAGGCTGAATTATGGAGCATTTTAAATAAATGCATTTCCATTAATTCCAGGAACACACAGGCTTGCAGATAAGGTGGGCACAGCAAAGCCAACCAAGAGCAGCTGTGCCTCAGTGAGGCAGGGAGCAGGGGAGGAGCATTCTAGAGCATCTCCAGACCTTTCCCCAGACACACACTGGGACTTGGTAATATGCAAACCCCAAACCTTGCACCTGCTCCTCAAACCAGTTCCCTTTTATGGCTTCAGGATGGGTGGTCAGAAGCCCACAGAAGGAATGGTGCTGGCCCTCTTCTTAGCCACCAATCTATCTGGAATGACCTCTCCAGAGCCAGCTCTGCCTGCTGCAACCTAGAAGCTCAGGCCATCTGATCCCAAACCTCAGGGAGAACTGCACAAATGGAAATGGATGTGGGGAGCAATTGGGAACAGGGTCTTGCTCTCTCTCCTGGTATTTAATGGTTGTGTTTGGACATGGCATCTTACCTTCCCTGTCCTCACCTGGATAACAGGGCAACACAGCCTGCTTCAAGGTGTTGAGGGGGATGAAAGGCTGATGTCTGTATATGCCTGGCATGTAACCTGGGTTCAACATAGGTAGGTGAGTGCACTGAGAGGCACTGGGAACACCGAGGAGAACAAGGCCATCCAGGGCCCTGCCTCTGTGGGGCTGAAAGTCTAGCAGGGGGAAAAGGTGTAAGGAATCGCATATAAGAACATCTGCAGGAAGTGGAGGAGCCTTTGATCACCACGCTACATTGTTTCCAACATTTATTTGATACTCTCTGTGTATCAAACCGGCACCAGGCAGTGGGACACAGCCTTCGCAGGGGGTTTGGAGTGTGGTGGATGAGCTTATGGAATGTGCTTCCTTAAGACCTAGATGGCCTTTCCTTCAGCACCATCCCTTGGCTCAGATTTCACCCTCATCAGGAAACCTCATGAGCAACGCAGCCCCTGTGCTGTCTGATTATCAGCAGGAGGCAGTGGGCATAGGCATTCATGCCACAGAGAGCGATGGACCCGAATGATTTGGTCCCCTGCTTAATTTAGCTCAGGTTCGTGTGAATCTGATTGAGTCAGTCATGCAGTCTGCGCAATTCTAAGGGCTGGACTGACATGTGGCAACTTTGTACAGGCCAGACCCCAGGAGGCCGGCTCCCCAACTGCCTTTGCCACACTGCCTCTGTCCCACCACAACCACAGTGACCTTAAGGAGCAGAGGGGTCTGTTACAAATGTACTGCCCACACAGGGTGGGGTAGACAGATGTCCAAACCAATACCCTGCCCACCAAAGGCACCCCATGAGAGGGTTATAAAGAGGCCACAGGGCCAGGCACTGTGGCTCATGCCTGTAATCCCAGCACTTTGAAAGGTCGAGGCGGGCAGATCATCTGAGGTCAGGTGTTCGAGACCAGCCTGACCAACATGGTGAAACCCTGTCTCTACTAAAAATACAAAATTAGCTGGGCATGGTGGCACATGCCTGTAGTCCCAGCTACTTGGGAGGCTGAGGCAGGAGAATCACTTGAACCTGGTAGGCAGAGGTTGCAGTGAGCTGAGATGGTGCCATTGCACTCCAGCCTGGGCAACAAGAGCGAAACTCTGTCTCAAGAAAAAATAAAAATTAAAAAAATTAAGAGGCCACAGCAATTCCAAGGAGGGAGCAGCTCCATTCTCTCTGGGACGGGCAGGGGGCTGTTGACAAAGTTACAGAGAGCAGGCGACATCTGAGCTGGACTTGAAGCACAATGAAGAGTTTGTCAGACTGTCAAACTGCAGAAGAGAACGTTAAAGGAACAGGCTATGCATGGAATGTACATCCTTATATAGCAGACTGCACATTTCAAAATCAGTTCAAAATCACAATCTCATTTCACCCTCTCAAATCCCATAATGGTGTTAACTGCCTCTCCCACGGCCCTCCACCCCGCCACACACAGGCAAACAAAAAAAGTGAGGTCCAGTGAAGGCAGATGATGAGCCCCAGGGCAAACGGTGACTAATTTCTGAGTAGAGGGAAGTGAGAGGTGGACTCTGGCTGAAATGGTCCTCTTCTCACTGAAATGGGGGATTCCTGGCTTCCTGTCCGGCGGCAGAGCCCCACTTCGGCCCCTGCTGGCCTGTGACACACTCCTCTCATCCCCAACATACACACACACACTCCTGCAGCCACCAGGGCCTGTCAGAAGGGGCTGGCTGAGAGCGGGTGGCCGGCAGAGGAACCAAGCAGCAGGACCTGGGCCAAGGGGCTGAGGAAAAGCTGACCATTCTAGATGAGAGGCCCTGCCCAGCCTCTTCCCCTTCTCTGAGTGCCGATCACCTCAGCCTCTCCCACTGCAAGTCTCATTCCGTAGCCTCTCCTCTCCATCTCTTGCAGTGGCTGCTGCTGGCCTCTCCCTTCTCCTTCCTCCACCCTCACCCTCCCCGGGGAGTGGTGAGCTCAGCCTTTCCCAGCAGCCGTCCCTGGGAAAGATGGGAAATGCACCAACGGGAACTGAGAATAGGCCTGCCCTTGGGAGGGAGTGGAAGAAGAGGCGTTGGGGACAGGGCTCAAGTCTGCCACTTCCTAGGAACTCCTGGCCGCCGAAGGGACAGTCTGCCTGTGTGTACTGCATGCTGGAAGGACGTGGGCTCAGACTGTGTGGACTGCCAGGGACCTCGTCTTTCAGATGAGGAGACACAGGCCCCGGGAGAGGAGAAAGGGGACTGACGGCCTGTCCCAGGCACTGGGAGCCTTTCAGTTGTCTTGTTTCATGTTATCCTCACAACTGCTCTGCAAGGTGTGTGTGGTAGGCTGAGTAACAGCCCCCCAAGATGCCCACATCCTAATCGCCAGAGCTGTGGCTGTGTTAGGTCATGTGGTAGAAGAGATTCTGCAGATGCAATTTTGTTCAGGGCCTTGAGATGGAGAGATTATCCTGCATGACCTGGGTGGGCCCAATGTCATCACAAGGGTCCTGACAAGAGGGAGGCAGGAGGGTCAGAGAGAGTAAAGGTGATGGGATGATGGAAGCATTGAAAGACAGACGAAAATCTACACTGCTGGCTTCAAAGCTAGATGATGGGGCTGGGAGCCAAGGCATGCAGACAGCTTCTGGAAGCTAGCAGAGGCAAGGGAACGGATCCCCGTTAGAGTTTCCAGAGGACACAGCCCCGACAACCCATTTCAGGACTTTGGACCTCCAGAACTGTAAAAGAATACATTTGTGTTGTTTTAAGCCACTAAATATATGGTAATTTGTAACAGGAGTAATAGGAGACTAATACGACAGGCATTCTCATTCCCATTCTGTGGACCAGGAACTGAGGCTCGCAGAAGGCTCGTAACTCCCTCAGGCCAGGCGTGGTGGCTCACACCTGTAATCCCAGCACCTTAGGAGGCCAAGGCCGGCAGATCACTTGAGGTCAGGAGTTCGAGACCAACCTGGCCAACATGGTGAAATCCCGTTTCTACTAAAAATACAAAAATTACAGGCATTGTGGCTTATGCCTATAATCCCAGGTACTTGGGAGGCTGAGGCAGGAGAATTGCTTAAACCTGGCAGGTGGAGGTTGCAGTGAGCTGAGATTGCGCCACTTCACTCCAGCCTGCACGACAGAGTGTGACTCCATCTCAAAAAATAATAACAATTATAATAATAACTCCCTTAGGTCCTGCAGGAATCTCTATGAGCTCTTAAGGTTGGGGGCCCCTCAGCCAGGGCTTCAGGCTAGGGGGAGAGTCTGAGGAGGAGG